TGAAATTAATTTATACCTTTTATATGAAAGCTATAACCTAATAACAGCCTAAGAATACGGGGAGGGGGGAGGGAGAGGGGAGGGGAGAATGGGTGGAGGGAGGGGGATTGGAGGGATCTCTTCTGTGGTTTATCTTACAAGGGTACAAGTGAACCTTTCTAAGAGTAGAATATGAACATTTTGGCACAATAACTAGGTAAATGACATGAAGGCTATGTTAACCAGTCTGATGAAATGTTTCAAATTGTATGTGAAAACACCACACTGTACCCCAGAAGTGCATTAATGTATATAGGTACCATTCAATAAAAACAAACAAACAAACAAACAAACAAAAACCATTGAGCTTTCAGTTCATTTGAGGCCTCCTCCCCAAACGCACATCCTGAAAGTCTCAGTCGGCCAGGACTTTTGTGTGTTCAATCCTCCCATGCAGTTGTGTGGGCTCCTAACACTGTGGAGTGCTGGGACCAGAGAAGGCACTCAGTGAATAACTGTAATATGAATTAATGAATAAAATGCATTCACAAATCAAATAATGTATTTTTAATCTTCACAACTTCTGTATCCATAGCCCCACTTAACAGATAAAGAGACTGAAGTTTACAGTGCTCAGTAGGTTTTTTTGATAATATATTTATTAATAGTAAAAGAGGTGTCATTTGTGGCCAAGTTTCTCTTACCCTGAAACCTTTGCTGTCTCATCAGTACTGGCAACTCTCTGGTTATCATTTCTTTCTTTATTTTTATTTTTTTATTGAATCATAACTTTGTACATTTATGCATTTCTGGGGTTCAGGGTACTGCTTTGATATACAATGTGAAATGCTTACATTGAACTAAGTAACACATGCATCACAATTATGCTCATTCCTTTCCAAATCATCAAGGTTTATGCTGAGCGAGGGGGGCAGTATAGAGCACAGGTAATGTGTAAGAGCACCAATGCAGGGACACTGCCAGGTTCAAATCTTCAGCTCTGGTATTTAGTAGCTATGTAACCTTGGGCTATTTACTACTTTCTTTGCCTCAGTTTCCATAGGTGTAAAATGGGAATAATAATAACTGACTCACAGCAGTGTTTCAAAGACTAAGTGAATTAATAACATAAGCGTTCAGGACAGAATCTAGCACCTACATGTAAGATACACATAACAGATACTCACTGTTGCTTCACTTGCTATCACTGTTGTGGCTTCACTGATTAGTTGCCCCAGGTCAGATGCTCTGCAGTCCAGATATTTAAATTTGTGTTTAAACTTTCTCCCTCCAAGGGATCCCTCTCCAGGAGCAGAAGCCTGCAACTTGCACGGCTTCCACAGGGGGTTCCCTCTGGCAGGGATTGGCTGGGCTGTCAGAGGGCCCTTCTGGAACTGCCCACCAGCCTTAAATATCTGTGTCTAGACTTATCAAGCCCATCACCCTCCATCCACTGATCTTGACACACGAGAACGTACTAGAACATGATCTGAATGCAGGAAAATGCCCAGTTAGCACTGAACCTGTTGGCCACCCCTCTCTCCTCACGCTGCACAGAAGTATCCTTTGGGGAAAGGGGACGATTGAAAGATGATGTTGTGTGTCAAATGAAGAACCGAGAGTAGATTTATATTTGATTTGATATCTGAGAATATTTATCTCCAGGCCTCACTAACTTATGTCAAAATTTTCCTAAGGCAACTTGGAAATTTTCCTAAGGCTTATAGTGAATGTTATGTGGGAAGTCAAAATGAGAACTACTCTTCAGTTTTAATTTGGTCAGAGTACAAATACACAGGCATTCCCATAGTTACTTGCAATGGTAGCATAAGTTGGTATGGATGCCTTAGGATGCAATTTAGACAAATGAATTTAACACCTTGAATCTCTCTCTCTCTTTCTCTCTCTATCTATCTATTTATATAGATAGATAGATAGATAGATATAGATATATAGTTTTTCATCCAGGATTTCCAAAACTCAAAATTTATATGAAATAAAATAACTTAGAATTTACATCACACTCACTGAGTAAATATCAGTTCTTCCCTATTATTTTTATTGTTTTCTTTATGTATTTATTTAATGTTGTGGTCACCCTAACAAAGTGAGCTCAGTGAAGAATTGACTTTTTCTACCTGTTCTCAGCCATATATCAAGTGCTAAGATTCTTGGCATACAGAAAACACCTAACAATTTTTTGTTAAATAAGTCAAATGATGACTCAAATTGTGATATGCTGGATAGCAAGAACAAGGGAGGAAAGAATGTAAAATTTAAAAATTGACTAAATATGGTTAAATGATAGAATTGACGAAATCTATAAAAAGATATGAGGTTTTTGAATATTAATTGGCATAGAAAAAAATCTTAAGACATTTTAACATGAAAGAGTAAATCAAAAATAGCATAATGTTAAATTGGTCATAAACTTATTATTAAAGAAAATCAAACATTGAGTGTTTATATATGGTGACAGAGCCAGAACCCAAACATGATTTTTATTTTCTCCTTCAAAATTGTGCTTATTTAAAGTATGTTAAATAAGCATTATTTAAAGCTTATTTAAAGTATGTTAAACTGCATTATATTGTAAGGGTTACACAGTGTTTTTTTCCTAAGGGGTTTATTGAGATTATGTAGTTATTTGGGGAAAGTTTAGAAAATAATTTGTCTAAATAATAATATGAAGTATGTGTTAGATTGTTAGCATGAAAAAGTAATATTAGCGTACAGCCAGGGAAGGAGAAATGAAGGTGATTTGTTGGGGTTGTTGCTTGATTTATTCTAAGTTCCTTGGCACTTTTGTTAAAAATAAAATAATTAGAAAACTGTATCTTTATCTATTATTTTATTATTTAAAGAAATCAGAGTTGGGTAGGATCTCCTTTCCACAGATATTGGTCCATCTTCAAGGAACTGCCAGAACCTTCTTTACTAACAATAAACTCACGTGTTCTAGGTTGTTCTTCCACCATTAGACACAACAGAACTCAAACCACACATGGTGAGGAACAGTCTATAAACTACATTCTCAGTCAGATCTTGTGTGATGGAGAACATCAGCTTTAATCTATAGTTCTCGGTAGGGAGAAACACTATGAACACTTTGAGGTAATTACGTCTTCCTATCTCTCTGCCTTCAGACAATTTTGAACTATTTCATTATATTTTAAGTCATTCAGCATTTTCTATTCTACGAACTCTTTAACTAGAAGAGAAGTAACTACCATACAGCACAGGGCACTCAGCTCCTCTTGGTTACAGAAATGAGGTTGACCTTAAGCAAAGATTTAATTATCAGCCTGTGGTGCTTCCAAGCCTGCACCCCCTAAAGCGGAAAGCAAATGTTAATTGTTTTTCAAGTTGTATAAGCTACTTTCATTTTAATCCTTTAAAAAAAGCTATGGGACCAATTTGGAATTTTACAGAATTCCTGATGACTTGAAATCACAACAATCATGAGTATAGCTCAGAGGTTCAGCTAATCCCTGACAACTGCATACTCAGACAGAGAGTTACACCTCAGAGGTGAAAGCAAAACAAAATAAAATCTTTCCGCATTGATAATGATAAAGTCTGCATTTCCTAATTCCAGGCCTTGCCCAAATCTTTCTCTTACACATTTTGTTCATACAAATAAAAAAATAAATAAAATAAGAAAAAAGAAAAATACCTTTAAAAAATCTATGCTAACAAGCGAAGTTTAAATTCAGTCTAATTCCACTCAAAATGCCTCCTTCTTCCTCCATGAACTCCTGGCCCAGCTTCTCCCCGTTCCATCTCCCTCCCTCAGGGAGATCTGCAGAACCTGTCAGTTATCTATGCCTATGCTCTTTTCTGAATGCTATACTTTCTTTTTCTTTATATATTGTATTGTCTTTATTTTTTCTTTTGTATCTGTGAGTAATTTGTGTTTTTGAGCTACTAATGAAACCAGACCCACTGTTTGCTGAGGAAACACCATTGAAATGATGACTACTTATTGATCATACCTTGAGAATCTTGCACATAATCTCATAAACTGAGAATGTTTTTTCTGCTCTGGTCCAGTCCCAGGTGGTCACCTTTAAACGATTAAAAAAAAAAATGCCATTTGTTTTAGGAAGTTATTTTCCTCTCTATTGCAGTTGTGTAATATGGTGGATAATAAGGGAAACTCTCAGAAATGTATCCTTTTAGACTCTCATCTGTGACACTGTTTTCCTAAAGGTCATTGTATAATATTTTCATTTCCTCTATTCTAAGTTTTGTCACCATTTATCTTTTCCTTTTAGCAAACATTTTACATCATGTACAACAATTTTCACTTGCTCAGTGTCCTATGTATCTTTTTTAAAAAGTGTGCATTCTCTACATATAAATAATAAATACATTCCACACTTAAAATATTTTTTCCCAATTTACCACCAGATAAACACAGAGAAAATATTGACTTTAACTGTTAAAAGAAGATATAATTTATATTAAGAAATATTGATATGGCTTATGATTTTGTAAAGACATCAAAACTACAATGAACTTGCTTTACTGATTTGTATTTAAAATATTTGTCTCATTCCCTTTCATAAAAAACATTCAAAATAGGGCTACAGTAAAAGATACAAATGTTTATCTTTGCCCTGACTTCCTGGTGCTCTAAACTCCGTGTAGACACAGACATTTACAATGCCAGGAAGTTGAGCCGGATGATTTCTGGACCTACCTATCTTTAGACCTATGAGTGAGGCTCTGGCATTTGTTATTTATGTTCAATAAATATTCATTGGATGTCTACTGTGCTGCAAGGCACACATTTCCAAAAGCAAGATTTTAGGTGCAATAGGTGTCCATCCATATTTAGTACAAAGTCCAAAGACTAGAATATAGAGTGTAAAAGATGATCAAAAATGCCATTGATTTCATTTAGAGAGAACTGCATAACACAGATAAATATATTTTGACTGTCATAAATGTTAGCAAACCAGAATGTATTTCTGATTCTTTATCAAGAATTAAGCCCTCTAATTTAAACTTTGAACACTTCAAGTTTGCCTAAGGTTAAGACAACTTCCAATTAGACAAAATGCTATCATTTTGAGTTTCACTAAACTATAACTTGGTGATATTAAATTAAATATAAGTTAAAAACTTACTATTGGTTATTAAAAGTGCCAAATAAATTTAAAAGTGCTATCAACATTCTCTTTAAATAGAAGAGGTTAATAAGTTCATTGAATATGATGAATCGTTAAAATTACTCACTTTTATTCTACCCTTGATATATTCATTGCTTTAATTTTTAATCAATTAACAAAATACACTGACATATGTTTGGAAATATTTTTTAAAATTTCCTTTTTTGGGTCTTCATGGGATTTTTAAGTATTATAATTTTATTCATTATTTTTCATGTTCACCATCTAAACAAATGATTTCTACACTTTCAGGGTTTATAAAGCAAATGTTTAATGCCAGAACATGTACCTTTTAAAAAGCTACTTTAGCAACATCTGTACTGATGTCTGGTTTTCTTTCTGCATCTTATTTTCACACCATATTGACAATATGCTATTTGGTATTGTTAAGTTGGCGTCAGTTGGTGGTGAAATCATGGGAAAACAATGAATTTGGATAGAAGCACTCACTGGAGGAGCCAGAAACTTGTACAGACACGAACCCCTGAGGGCTAGAAACGCGGGGGAGTACACTCGGTCCTGAAGGGGGTCCTGCTCTCGCATTTCACACCAGCCCATGTAGACGATCTGCAGGGAAATCAAATGCCGTTAACTGTCGAGAAACTTCTGACTTTAGGTATCTCACACGTATTTAACATGCATGGTGTTATAATCTCTCATAAAATTATGAAATTAATTGGCACAAAAGTACACTGAATACCAGCCTTTGATAAGAGTGTCTTACATGTTCTCATCACCATTTATCATGTGTTTTGATGTTTGTTTATGTAATCCAACCTACAACAAATTATGTTACCCAATCTGTGCCAGATCCGACTACAAAAAAATATTCAGTTGTGCCAGATACAGTGGCTCACGTCTATAATCTTAGCACTCTGGGAGGCCGAGGCAAGTGGACCACCTAAGCTTGCAGGTTCAAGATCAGCATGAGCAAGAGAGAGACCTTGTCTCTAAAAATATACAGGTGTTGTGGTGGGCACCTGTAGTCCTAGCTACTTGGGAGGCTGAGGCAAGAGAATTACTTAAGCCCAAGAGCTGGAAGTTGCTGTGAGCTGTGATGCCAGAGCTCTCTACCGTGGGTGACAAAGTGAGACTCAGTCTCAAAAAGAAAAAAAAAATTCATTTGTAACAGAATCCACTAACTTATAAGCATTCCAATAACTGACATTTTATTATATGGAAATATGCTTCCAATATAATGGTTTTTTTTTTTTTTTTGAGGCTGGGGCTTGCTTTGTTGCCACAGCTGGAGTGCAGCAAACTTGACCTCCCAGGCTCAAGCAATCCTCCTGCCTCAGCCTCCCAAGTAGCTAGGACTGCAGGCAGCTGCCTGGTCAATTTTTTTTTTTTTTCTGAAAATTGATCTTGCTATGTTGCTCAGGCTGTTCTTGAACTCTTGCCCTCAAGCAATCCTTCTGTTGGGCCTTCCAAAGTGCTGGGATTACAGGTGTGAGCCACTGTGCCCCATGCCACTGACCACAATACAAAATATTAAGTGAGTAAAAGTAGTGAGTTAAAAAGAAGTGCCTCGTATGATTACTGCTGGTGGTGCACCATGTCTACCCAGCGCCTGACAGGGTAACATGATAGACTTTCTCACTGTAATCACTGAACACAGGTTAATATAAATTATCCTAGTATATTCATATATCCAATGGCACTGAAACCAACTCTTGAGCTTTTAAGAATTCTCATTCTTAAACAGAGTTTAACCAATTTCTAGAAGAAAGCCAGGTGCCATGAACTGCTCCTCTCTCTCCATCATCTAATTGTTATGAAGGTCAAATATACACGCATTTAAACATTGTGTATATGAATGTCAGTGTTACATTCCTGACAGTGTCTCCCCATGGCCTTTCTGATGCCTTTCACCATGTCTCTACCTAAAAGGACGTACTTCCCGATTCACAGAGTTTACGTTGGTTCCACGGCAGTAGCATTTCGTACTCAAACAAGTACTCAAACCCAGCCAGCTCTAGCCTCATGGCTGATGCCAAATAGCAGTTGATTTATAGAAAGAAATAATTACTTATTGTTGTATTCTACCTAGTATGGGGAAGGTTGCACTATTGTGGCGACAGCTGATGAATAACAGTGCAAGAATTTGCCTACAGACCCCATCTTTTCCTCATGCATTATATTTATTCAGAAAAGTAATTGGATTGTTCACATCTCATTATTTCAGCTTGTCTTAAATTAAACCTATAAGATATGAGTATAAAGATTATGATTAAACAAACTAAGCAATTGGTGTATGGCACACCTTCTGGGGGCAAGACATAACTACAGAAAGGAATCTACCTAACAAATTCAAATATTGTGATTTGGTTATTTGTACCCTCACATTAACCTGAAATAAAAAAATAAAATAAAATAAACAAATTGTGATTTCAATAAATTAGCTTAAAAATAAATCATACTTGGTACAAATTATAATAGGAATTTAAGCAAAGGTCTCTTGCTCTTTTAATGAAATTATACATTCTCTGATCTCTTAGATTACCAACGTATGCTTTGAAATTTATACCATAAGGCATTTATTCATAGAGACATCACTGCTTAATAATAATGTAATAAGAACCAGCTATAAAATCTCATTATTTTGTATTTCTTATATGGCCAGGAATACTTAATCAGATAACATCCTAGTTTTAAAAGAGTGAATGAAGCTTAATAGCTGACCATACCAAAAGAAAAATATAATTTGGTGAAATATATGAATATATTTAAGGAGTCATAATAATTGAGAGAAATTGAAAATAGAATATAATTAGTTTAAATATTTTATGGCTATGTATTAAGCAATTTGCCAGAGAAAACTGGGGAAAAAGTAATGTGCTCAATGCACTAGATATTTTATAAAGTATTGAAGAACAACCAGAAAGCCCATAATAATATGAAAATAGAAAGGATTTAATCATGAACTCAAATGTGGGGCTGATTTTTGCCACAAGGGCACTTTATATACAAAAATATCACATGAGAGACTGAGCTGCTTGGCCCAGACTTATAGGTTCAGGGAAAAATATTAAAGTGCAGGACCCTCCAAGAGTGACAGCCATAGTAAGTGGATTCTGCTTTTATTTAAAGATTACAGATTTCTGAATCTTAACAAAAAATGTGAAAGTAGAAATCACTTAGCTCTTGCAAGGATAAGAGCCCAGATTTAAGCCATTCAGATGGTCCAGAAAAAGTCAAGCTTGAAATGGTTCATGGTGGTCTTGGGTTACAGTTCTCCCAGGCTCCCGGCTAAAGAAAGTGAAAACTCTCTCTGGATAATAATAATATTACATCTTTTGTGTTATTACCACTATTTCAGAACAGAATAAAAATAACCAAGAATGAAGAGAAATAAAATATTATGAAGGACAAATAAAAACAATAGAAAACAGAACCCAATATTTAGACATTTCCAATTTTGACATTTTATCCCACTGACATTAATTTAACTGTGCTTGCAATGGGTAAGAATACAAAGCACATATCTGAAACTTTTATTAGAGAATACCTCAAGTAACATTAGCAATATTCCAATTAAAAATTTGATAAATGTATCCTTTAAAAAAACATACAGTTGGGGTTAACACTAGATTAGAAGCAGCTGAAGAAAGAATTAGGGAATTGAGAGATGGTTTAATAAAATATTTCTAGAATAATGAAAGGAGGGACAAAAGATAAGGAAAACCAGATATGGGAATGAGAGAAAAGCCTATTACAGTGAGAAGTATGAGACGCTTCTAAGCAGAGACAAGAAAGAAGATGTACAGAAGATATGTTTATAAAAACGATGGATGAGAGTTTTCCTAAATAGGTAAAAAGGGGTCAATATACAAATTCAGAAGATGAACAAGGCAAAAGCAAGATAAATATATTCACACATAGGCACTTTACTATGGGTCTTCAGAAAAGCAAAAGACAACAAAGAACATATTAAAGACAGCCAGAAGGCAGAAAAAATAATTACCTTTACAGGAATAACTATTCGATTAATTTTCAAAACAAACAAGGAAAGCCAGATTATTATGGAACACAAACTTCAGTGTATAGAATGAAAATGGCAGCCAGTTGGCAGTCTACCCACAAAGTCACCTTATAAGATAAAGGTGAAATTCAGCCTTTTGTAACATGTGGACTTGAGAGCTAAAATCATCACTAAAGTAACAAGCAGAATGGATTATTCAGAGACAGAATATAGGAGACAAAGAAAGAGTTGAAGGATTGAAAAATTTGGCATATATTTATTATTAAGTACACCAAGATAAAAACATCAGAAATTTAATAGGAGATGGTTTTGGTTAAAGCAATCTAAGTTTCTTACATTGTATGAGAAGATGATATAAGTCATATTTAACAATATTATTTTAGTTGTCAAGCATATATTTGTAATCTCTAAAGTAACTATTTCAGTAAAAGTGGCAGTCTATAAAGTAATTTCTTTGTAAAAGTGTATAAGAGTAAATTCTTACTTCTGAAACTTTTTAGAATAAGCATCTTTAACATTTAAAGTATCTTGAAAAGGGAACTTTGAACATTTTTTAAATGTGGTATGTCTTGAAGTTGCCATATAGAAAATAAAACTATAAATTTAAAATATATGATGATTCATTTAAAATAACAATGATGGGGGATTCTGGGAAGATGGCCGACTGGTAGCAACCCTGGTCAGAGGCTCCTGAACAAAGGAA